GTGATTTCGGTCTTTACAAACAACAACAACAAAAAAAGAAACTCCCTTTGAATCGTCAGACGTTCGCGATGCTTATCAACCACATCGAGCTCCCCTGCTGCTGTGCCTTCTTTCAGCCACACCCTTACAATATCTCTGAGAAGTGTAATTAGGAGAACTGGGAGGTGAAGAAAAACACTCACCACAGGACTCTGCACAACCCTGCCAAACCATCCAACTGTGAAAACTCTCGTCTGAGTCAATCCTCACTCCCTTCAAGCCCACATAACGAAAAAAAAATAAATAAAATTTTTAAATCAACGGTAATGAGTTCAAAGGAAAAAAAAAACGGGACTCAGCTATTTCCAGTAAGTCGGAGCGATGTGTGGGAGTTTCAGACAACTTTGATAAGAGCTGAATTGAAATGACTAACATGGTGAATGTTTGAAAAGCTTTAAGTGCCACTGGCGAAGAGAAACAACCATTAGACCTTTGACGTTTTCAGAAAAAAAAAAAAAAAAAGACTTTTTCTTGCACTTGTTTGATTCAATGGAGAAAACTTCTGAAGGGAAATAATTAACTTTATAGACTTTCTGGGCAGAGCTCAGCTGGATACTGCCAGCTACACTTGATTAGCATTTTACCACCGCCCATTGCTCCAAGTGTCTGACTTCATGTTTTGTTAGACAGCAGAAAACTCTCACACGAATTTTTGTTTTATGCGTATTAAAAAAAAACAGCATATATAAATAAAAACTTTTTAATTTTTCTGACAATCAAGAAATGCCCATTTCCTGCTGTTTTCAGGTGTAGTGTTACAGATTAATGATAAAACTGTCAACATAAGTAAAAGAAGAATTTCTTGCTGGCTTGACTTCCATCCATCCATCCATTATCTTTATCCGTTTCTTCCTTTTCAGGGCACTGTGCAAGAAGCGGTGTACACCTGGACAGGTCTCCGTCCATCACAGGGACACAGAGACAAACAACCATTCACTCTCTCACTCACTCACACCTGTCTCGTCCTTCCCACTTGTCCGCCCCTCATTCCATCTCACCTACGAAGACTGTTACATTCCTTCATTTTCATGGGTCTAATAAAACGACGTGAAGAGGAATCCACATATTCTGAATGCTGAGCTCACCAGTAACCATAGTTTCCACTTTGTAGTTCTTTCAAAATAAACTTTAATGGCAGAAAGTCTCTTGGATTCTCAATATTTTTTCCTCGCTAGCCAGGGACCTTTATATTCCTTGATTTTCACCAGTCTAAAAGGCCCAACATGAATGGGGGGAGGGGTGTATGTGCCCAGACAGTACAGCTGAGTTCACCTGTGAACATTATTTCCACGTTATAATCCTTTCAAAATAAAACTACAATCGTAGAAAAACCCTGGGAGACAGTTCTTTTGAAATTACTTCGCTTACCAATACCAGGTCCTGGTGTAAACAAAAACAATCGTTATTCCTACTTAAGTGAGAAAAGAAACGTAATTCTGACCAGATTGACGAGCTAATGGTTACCGGTAGTTTAAAATGGATTGCCACCATCTTGAAACTCAAATCACAAAATTTTAAAAAAGTGGTTCATTCATTATAATCTTTTACATGATTATTCCAGCAGAAACTGTACAGTATTCCTGTTGGAAGTGGCCCACTCCAGACAGGAAGTGCTCCGTCTAACTGCTGCTGTCTATGCTTTCAAATAACCACAACCGGAATGTAAAAGTTTATAAAACAGACATTGCATGATTTGTTTAGAAATTTGAGCCTAGAGTTGTTTCTAGACAACAGTCATCACCTTCTGTCTTGGCTCTGCTTCAACTTGCCATTAACTTGATAAGCAAGCAGAATTAAACAGTCTAATTTAGGAGCCATCTAGAACAGGTAAGATATTAATTATTCAAAAACTTTCCACAGAAACTCACATAAACGGATCTGAACTATCACTTTACCACACAGACTTTGCCTTGAGTTGATTAAAAAACGTTTTGTTGGCGCTTCCTTCTCCACAGGAACATTGAAGATCAAAGAAATCGTAACGTTCGACCACAAAGCGATCAGCGGCTGAAACCGAGTCACTGGAAACTTCTACGTCGGGCATCGGAGGACGCAGACAGAAACAGGGCAAGGAATCAAATCCAAGGGGTAAAATCATCAACCAAGAGGTCAAGATACGTGTCATCCAGTAATCTCCTTTAAAACGTGTACCCATTTACACACTAAAGGATCTCCAGGCCTCTTAATGTAGGACACTATCAGGGAATTAAGTGGAGGGGGGCAGGGATTATGTGCCACCATGACTGTCGCTGCAAAATCTACTGTAAGTAACCCTCATAGCCATCCACCCACCCGTTCACCCCACTCCCCGAGGGCAGACAGGAGCAGCTTTCCCAACACGCCGCTGTCTTCCAGCCAGATTGGCAGAAAGCATCAGGTCCGACTCAAGCTGCCACACATCCAACAGCCACATTCGTCAGAAACAGCTGGACACCTCTGGGTATTTGGCACCAGCCTGGAGGGGGCTTTCTGATGATTTCTGAACCACTTGATACAAGAACACAAGGAAGGAACGCTCTAAGTTTAACATGTTGTGTTGAGAAAAGACGGAGTTATGTGTTTGGAAATAAAATTATGTATGATCGTAGCGCTCAGAGTACGTGTTGTGAAAGACTCTCAGCTACTACCCCATCAAGTTTTTTGCTCAATATATGTAAAGCTGTGGGAGCCATCTTGAATCAAATGAAAATTATTCAGTTGTACACACAATGATTACTTTTTAGGAGTTTGCTAACACACAGGCCTGCTATCTACTGATAAATATACTAATAATAAAGAAACTGACATGGAAAACATTACAAATGAGAATAACAAGTAAGTTTATCTGAATTAATTTATCCATATTTTGTGGATCTCAGCTCCAACGAAAACTGATTGTTGTGCCCCGTTGCAGAGATAAAAGAAAGAACTGGAAATACCCTCGGTCCATCCGTGTTGTAAGTATGACAACTTGAAAAATAAGCGAAGTACCGAGTTCCATTTATGCATGTGGCTAAATCTACGCATAAGAAAGTTTCCTTTTAAAATTTGCGTTGCCACATCAAAATCCAAGATGGCTGCCATCATATATGTTCATCCATCTTGCGAGTTGGATAACTTGAAAAATAACCAACTATGCTTTCTAGTATCTGCATTGCTTAAATGTATAGTCTCCTCAAATGATTGGGGTGGCTAAAGATTAATCCATGTGGCCAAGGCCTCCACGGGCCACCTCTTGGCTCCACCACTGGTCATGGATAAAATTGTTTCTTCCACTCAGCAGGATGAAAAAATTATAATAAATCCAACTTATATTTTTATACTCAGTGTGTATTGCACCAAAAACATTAAGGTTTTCATCTTGAAAACTACAAATATTCACTATTCAAAGCATACCGCTTGTTTTTCCTGTCAGGTCCTGAGTTTGTAACCTCCTCGATAACACGTCCCTGTTGGGGTGGACAGGACATCAAATAAAATCAGCAAGAAGGAAAATTAAAGACAATCCCTTACAAACCAACGGTTACCATGGCAAGATGAGCCGAACTCGAGATCAACAGCTGGTTCAAGAACTGCTGGTTTGGTGCAGAAGAGTCGGATCATTTCAAACACCTGAAAGCACCTAAATTAAAGGCCTACCATTCCTTGAAGAAATGTATATCACCCGCCAACATATTGTTCTGAGTCGATATGTAATATTGCGATATGTCACCCTCAGAGTGTGTGCTGTAAGTGACTCTCAGCTACTACCATGTCATATTTTAACTTAAATATTACCCCACTTACAGCCTTTTCATTTGCTGCCGACGTCGCTTAGCTGTGGCGACCACTCCACAAATTAAAAAACAGTTGCAGATGTGCATCCAGCGATTACTTTTTCAAACTGATATTACCCTGTTGATCCCAACATTTGTTGGTAAAATTTGAAGCAGAGATGTTGCGTAATAAGTAGCACTTGATGTACGGTTGTGAAAGAGAAAGACTTGCAGCTACAACCACGCCTAATTTTAGCGCAATATCTTTAAAACGGTGAATTACATCCAACTGCTGTGTTCTCTAGAGTCAGTTGGCTGTGGCGGCCATGTTGGATCAGGTCGACTTTGAATGGTAAGAGATGTACAAAGATATTTTGCTGACAGAGACACACAGACATGGACAAACACAGCCTGCTTTTGGCAGCGGATGATAATGAGCTATAGTCAAATCAGGAACAGTGACATATTTTAAAAGCTTCTGATGATTAGAATTGGAGGAAGTAGAGAAAGTTAAAACAACCTGCTCCTCTACAAACCCACGATCTGCATATTGATGAGTGAATAGAGGTTTTTTTTTTTTTTCTCTAACCACAAACACTAAATTTATTCTTTTGTGAAGTAATGTAAGTCATTTGTATTCACAGCCTGTCTGGAGCCTCTTTTCATGAGCCTCTTACTCTGAAAACCTCAAACGAGCACTTATTTATACAGAAATACCTGCTGAAAAATACCTTATTAACATATTATAAAACATGTCTTACCAGGCAACACCCCCTTTCCCGTTTGGTTAAATAATCTCTACAATTTAATGACCTACTTTTCTTCACCTGCCACTTTTAGACAATAAAAGCGCAACAAGGCAAGAGTTTTATAGTTGGGTTTCTTTGACAAGGACGCAGAAACAGATTTTTGACCATTTTCTCAGTAAAAAAAAAAAAAAAAAAAAGAAATAACTGCTATTTGTGATGTTTGAGATAACGAGATAATCTGAGGTCGTGATCGCAATAAACTCCGCAGCAGTTTTTGATGCGGAAATGAGCGGATTCTTTATTTTACACACATAAACAGCGACAAAATGTTAACAAAAACGACAGCTTTCACAGAAAATATATAATTTAAACGGAACAAATGAAGGGAAGAAACGCGACTTTAAAAAAAAAAACACTATCAGGAGACGTTTAGGGACTGTAAAAACCAGTCGGAACAGGTAGTTTCGGTCCATCTTACCTCTCAAAAATCACACAAAAGCTTCTCAGATAGTTCCAGCTCGGTGGTTTTTCTTCTCCGGAGGACACTTCTCCTTGTTTTTCCCCACCTTTCTCCTCTCTGAGCCCCCCAACAAGCGCAGCTGGTTTCTGTCTTTGAACAAAACAAAAAAAGAAAAGAAAGAAAAGCAACAGAGAGAAAAGGAGCGTCACCTCCGTGCAGGCTCCGCCTTCTTCCCCAAGCCCGACCGCGCAGGCTCCGCCCCCTTCCCCCACCGGGAGCGGCTCTCCTTTTTTTATTTATTTATTTGTTAGGAACAGGAACTTGTTTTAACAGCCCGCACCGACTCTTACTATTTTATTGTTGTTAAAGCGCCAAAGCTTCTTAAAAACCAGCTGCTTCACCTCAAACGCACCTTAAAGTTGACTGGAACTGACAGATAGTCAGAATTTTATTAATATGTTGGATGCCTGTATTGGCGCAGAACAAAGTGTACAGCCCTCACGTGTTCCGTCCACCTGCGTGACGTCAGACCAGGACCACACCTTGATTTGTACGAAACCAGACTGCAGGATGAGTCACTGTCGAACTGTGAGACGTTCAAGACAAACAGATATAGTCACAGCACTGTGTTTGACAAAATAAGATACGACCCCTGTCCAAAATTATGGAAGATTTTGGGATAATTTGGTCAAAATTTCAAACTTTTGGCATTAAGAAACGTTAAAAATGATAATTGCTGTTTTCTTTCTCAGTAGATTTTTTTCCAGATCAAGTGAATGAAGACAAAGGAATCATGAGAAAAAAAACACTACTTGCACGCTCTGAAGCATCGATGACAAACACAGTAAGTCAAGTACACCTCTCAGTCTAGCTTCAAATGTCTCTTATTGCTGTTCCCAGATCAGTTAACATGTTGGAGCCTTGTCATTGACCATTTTCTTCAATCTCCACCTGATATTTTCTAATGGATTGAGACCCGGACTCTTCAGGCCATGCTGTTGACGTTACATCTTTTTTGAAGGAAAGTTTTTCACATCCTTTGCCCTACAGAAGATGCATCATTATTAAGAAAAATGAAGTTGTCATCGTCATAAAGAACTTTTTCAGCTGATGGAATAAGAAAAGTGTCTAAAGTTTCAGTGTAGACTTTGGCATTTATTGAATGTGTAAGGTCTGCCATCTCCCATGCGTCCTGATATGACACTTTCACCCACTTTCAAAGATGGCTGTTCTTTAGCTCGTTGTCCACTTGTTCTGTTTCTTATTGATGGCTTTTGTTTTCTGTAAGTATATTTATTTTTTACAGTTTGCTCACAAACATTGACTCCAGTTTCATTTGTTTGTTGTATATTTTCTGCATTCAAGACATTTTGCTTTAAGTTCTTGGTGACTGGCCAGCATGGTGGCACACTGTTGCGTCTCAGTGAGAAGGTCGCTGGATTGAATCCCGGCTGGGGTAGAGTTTGCATGTTCTCTGCATGCACGTGCGCCTTTTCTCCAGGTTCCGCCCCATTTTTTAACTTAAAAAAAATAAGTGAGGTTACAACTTCCATTTTGATGTACATCTAGACATGAGAAAGTTTCATTCAAAAATTGTGTTGCCAGGTCAAAATCCAAGATGGCTTCTGCCATATATGTGTTCATGTAAACCTTGTGAGCTGGATGACTTGAAAAGTAAGCAACGTGCCGACTTCAATTTTGGTGCGCAGCTACATCTAGGCATAAGAAAGTTTATTTTCAAGAACTGGGTTGTTAGGTCAAACTTTAAGATGGCTGCCACCATAAAATTATAAATGTTAACATGTGAGCTGGATAACTTGAATAACAAGCAATGCACCTTTTTCCATTTTGGTGTGTGGCTGCATGTGGGGAAAGGTCCCGATCAAAAAATGGGTTGCCATGTCAAAATCCAGTCCAGAAAAAACATTCACAAATACACACATTACAAACATTCACAATTCAAATCCTTCAGAGACGGGGGACATTGGCGTTTATTTATTTATTTGTTTTATTTTTTTTGGTCTGTGGTTGAACAATTGGAATCGAGGTAAAAATGGGAGGGGAAAAGAAGACTTAAAACTTCTACAGGTAATCTGTTATTTGTGGTTTTGTCATGGCATGAAAAAGTTTTTGTGTTGTGCAAGGACCCACCCTGCAGGTGTTTCCCTGGTTTAACACACCTGACTCACATGAAACAGGTCATTAACAGGCTTCTGCAGAACTTGATGACAAACCAAGGGGCTAATTGGTTCATTTGAATAAGGAAACATTTTACCACATAGACAAAAAATTGTGAAAGAACCAACTTCAAGTGTTCAAAAAACATGTTGGACAACAACATGAGCCAGCGTTTGCCTTAAATGTGCACGTCATGAGTCCATCGTTCCCTTTTCCGTGTCAACCTTTTATGGTATGTTTGCAGATAAAATAATGCTTTATGTATCACACTTCTCAGATTAACATTCCCAGATAACTTCCCTAGAGAGGCTTCCAAATGCCCAAACCACTTCAACTGGTTCCTCTGAATGTGGAGGATCAGTGGCTTTACTCCGAATCTCATAACTTCTCAGCCTATCTTAAATGGAGAGTCCACCTACCCTACGAAGAAAATTCATTTTGACCGTCAGCCTTGTTCTTTCGGTTACTACCCAGAATTCATGACCATATGAGGATAAAAGCATTTCACAACATTTATGTGGACAGATAACAGCAAGAAGCTCAACGTCTCTCGCCTGGACATGGGTTACCGGAGGTCCACCCTGGAGCCAGTCCTGGGGGATGGGACCTTTACCTATGGGACTTGGTTGGACACCCAAAATTAACAACATGGGTTTGCCTCTGGGTCCACTACCAGCAAAGGAAAGAATCATGAGTCGAGTACAAAGTGCTATGTGTACCAGCCCAAGGACGGTGGCTTGGTACTCTGATCCTTACTAACAAGAAAAATTGTGCAATAAATACACTATATGTACATATTCATACATATGTGTGTGTATATATATATATATATATATATATATATATATATATATATATATATATTTATTACTGCGTATAAGTCGCAGTTTTTCTTGCATAGATTTGTCAGTCCTGTGACTTTTATATGCCGAAGCGACTTGTATACATATTTTTTTCCCATATTCATAACGCAATTTTTGACTGACACTTTAAATTTTGATGAACTGCAAGAGCGAGTCCTCCCGTGTGCGCTTGATTCACTCAGCTGGTGCAGGTGGAGTAACGCTGGAGGGCAAACAAGTCTCACTTGTAAATGAGTCCTTGAGGATCAATGTGATTTGTCTGTATAGATAAAGGTTAAATGGAAAAAAAACAGCTAGTGGCTCTGGCTGCAATGGATGGATGGCACCACGCCGCCCAGGCGAACTGAAGCTGTTTTGCCCATTAAATAAATGCATAATAAATGTGACGGGTCATCAGTGACGCATAATAAATGTGACTTATATGTTGAAGTGACATATATGTTTTTTCCCCTTCATGATGCTTCTTTTGACTGATGCGACTTATACTCAGGAGCGACTTATACGCCGAAAAACACGGTAAGATTCTTTTGACTGCTTCTTTCAGCAGAGGTCAGAACAGCAAGAGAACTTGCGTGACTGATTTGGCAATTGTTTTATACTGGATGCCCTTTCTAACGCAACCTGAGCTCAGACTATAACATTTAAGGTGATTAATCTGAAAAAAGTCATCAGAGGCTCATTTAATAACTTTTAGCACTACAAAAATAATCAATAATGTTTCAATCACAGTTTCTGCTTGACTTATTTTAACATTTGATGTGACTTTTACTTGCTCAAAAGGCAACTATAAAAGTACAGTTTATATAAAAAAAGACAAAATGGAGAAAAGCTTTCAGAAATTGTTTCATAGTAATAAATTCTGAGTCATGGCATAATAAAAAATTTTAATTGACAACTTCTGAATGGCTATTTTATTGCAAGAAGTCCACGCATACAACCTGTTCAGAGAAAAAAGAAACTCAGAACAGCAGAATGATTTAAATATACCTTTGCTAAATCTATCCACTCAGTGTGCACAGAGGCTTCTCTAACAACAGGATGATACATTCGGACAGGATGATAGACGCATACAGGTCAGGCTGTACTCTGCGTCAGGCCTCGGGGTGCATCATCCCTGCTTCCTCCGATGCAGCCATTGTGACAGTCATCATCTGTGCCTCTCAAAATAAAAGGGACAGAGGCAGAGAGGAGCGGGGCATGCTGGGTCACTGCTGCTTATATAGGCCATTATATTTGTCACAGTGAATGTGCGGACGCTTGAAAATAGCTCCAGGCCTAATTGACAGTTAGGTTTTAATGTGTCGCTTTAGGGGCTTGACGATTATTAGACTGTTCACTGAACAGAACGATGCCTTCATGTTGCCAAACTGGACCTTTGGAGTTCATGATTTACAGACAGAGCTGTTTGGCTTTGACTTTTGCTTCATCAGATATCCCTGAACAGTGGAAACGGGGACTACAGGGGCATGAATGGTGTCATTGTTTGAACACAGCAGCGGCTTTATTTTGAAAATTAGCCAGGAATTAAAAGAGTGGGCTTCATGTGGGGCTGCAGCTCGTGATGACTCAGTGTTTAGGTATTACTGTTGCAGTTTTCTGCTTATGATGGCCATTTCTTTTGAAGTAAAGGCCTAGCATTCCTCCTCTTTTCATTCATTCAACCTTTATTTATACAGGTTAGTCTCATTGAGTCGCGAGGACTCATTTTCAAGAGGGACTTGTTTTAGACAAACTGAACAATTGCATGCAAATAAAATAGAGCAATGTATATAGTCCTGTGTATTCTGTAGTATAGCAATACTCTTGTGCAATGAGTAGCACTTAGAGCGTGTTTTGTTAATAACTCTCAGCTACAACCACACAAAAATATATCCAATGTCTTTAAAACTGACTGAGTGGTACACATTTTTGTGTTGACTAATATCAGTTGGCTGTGGTGACCATTGTTTGCTGAAAGTTTCATTAGAGTTTGTCAAGCAGATTACAATTTTGCTAACAAACTGACAAAATTAACTAAATAATTCAAAATTCATGCCCCAGTTTTGTTCTGTAACCCCCCCAAGCAAACATGAAGTCACCATGAATTTCACTGAACATCCAACACCGTCTTTTATTCAGTGACAACACTTGTTTTTATGTATCTGTTTTACAATACTGGTCTCTGTCAGTCTCTCTCGGCCCTGTGCCCC